AATCCTGTGAGAATTATAGGACAATAACTTTCCAAAGACGGCAGTTTAATGCTTAAATAATGTTGGTGTCGATTTTTATGACGACATCAGCCTTAACTCTTGATTAGCGACTGCGATATCATCGCTATGTACCATATTACTATCTAAAGTACATGTTAAAATCTTCAAATGAAATGTCTGAATTTCGAAGTTCCAATGGCGTATTTGAATATCACTTATAAAGGGGTTCAAATTAAGGGTGACTATACCATCCTTTAGGGAGCCATTTGAATGAGACATTTAACAGGAGACCTACTCGCTAAGGTTTATCACGCCAGACCAACTCGCTTAATTTATCACGAGATACCTTCATCTTAGATATATCATGGAAGACCTACTCGTTTTGATCTATCTTATCAGAACTACTCGGTTTAATTATTGACGAAAAACCTACTCGCTAAGATGTATCATGTCAGATGGACTCGCTTAATTTATCACAGGCGACTCACTCGCTTAAATCAATCACGAGAGACTTGCCCGCTTAGATATATCATGTCGGACCTACTCGCTTAGATATATCATGTCGAACCTACTCACTTAGATATATCATGTCGGACCTATTCGCTTAGATATATCATGCCGGACCTACTCGCTTAGATATGTCATGTCGGACCTATTCGCTTTGATATATCATGCCGGACCTACTCGCTTAGATATATCATGTCGGACCTACTCGCTTAGATATATAATGTCGGACCTGCTCGCTTAGATATATCATGCCGGACCTACTCGCTTAGATATATCATGTCGGACCTACTCGCTTAGATATATCATGTCGGGCCTGCTCGCTTAGATATATCATGCCGGACCTATTCGCTTAGATAGATCATGTCGGACCTATTCGCTTAGATATATCATGTCGGACCTACTCGCTTAGATATATCATGCCGGACCTACTCGCTTAGATATATCGTGTCGGACCTACTCGCTTAGATATATCATGTCGGACCTGCTCGCTTAGATATATCATGTCGGACCTACTTTCTTAGATATATCATGTCGGACCCATTCGCTTAGATATATCATGCCGGACCTACTCGATTACATATATCATGTCGGACCTACTCGCTTAGATATATCATGCCGGACCTTCTCGCTTAGATATATCATGTCGGACCTATTCGCTTAGATACATCATGCCGGACCTACTCGCTTAGATATATCATGTCGGACCTGCTCGCTTAGATATATCATGCCGGACCTACTTTCTTAGATATATCATGTCGGACCTATTCGCTTAGATATATCATGCCGTACCTACTCGCTTAGATATATCATGTCGGACCTATTCGCTTAGATACATCATGCCGGACCTACTCGCTTAGATATATCATGTCGGACCTGCTCGCTTAGATATATCATGCCGGACCTACTCGCTTAGATATATCATGTCGGACCTGCTCGCTTAGATATATCATGCCGGACCTACTTTCTTAGATATATCATGTCGGACCTATTCGCTTAGATATATCATGCCGGACCTACTCGCTTAGATAGATCATGTCGGACCTACTCGCTTCGATATATCATGTCGGACCTGCTCGCTTAGATAGATCATGTCGGAGCTACTCGCTTAGATATATCATGGCGGACCTACTCGTTTAGATATATCATGTCGGCCCTACTCGCTTAGATATATCATGTCGGACCTACTCGCTTAGATATATACCATGCCGGACCTAATCGCTTAAATCCTTCATGGGAGACCTACTCTCTCTTAAATATCCATCATGTCATACTTGCTTAAACTGATAAGGCCTGACCTACTATGATGGAATTGAATAAGTATGCAAAGTTTAATGTCCGTGGTAATAAGATGGTGATTGAGATTAGATAGCTTATACTGCCGTTTGTGGATTCCGAGTCCTTTTTAATGTGCATACAAAACACATCAAACTAGAAGAAAACACTAGGACCTACGTACATAAATGATTATCATAGACACATTGCTAATCCCCCTTATTACACCGAGACAATTATAATCCTCGGAAGACGTTTCCTTGGTGATTAGGTCCACGTTCTGGATTTAAACTATTGATTACCCTCTCTAGTGAGTTTTCTCTGTCATTTGCAATCTTAATCACGTTCTCGGTTCGATATCATGTTTCTAAAACATATGGTGTTACGACCTCCTTCTGTCATAACAACTAATTATGCATATGATTTAATGATATAAGTCCTCTTTAATGACTTGTAAGTAGACGCGATCAAACTTGTTTATCAAATCCATCAGTCTATATGTCCGTCATCATAATACATAAGATATAATAAATGAGATCATTTGTGATAAAAAGAGAGAAAAGCCGTGACCAACTGATTTTACCTTATTCAGATACACAACTAAAAGTATTTTACTCCCAAAAGAATATAATATCACGTCACGAACATCCTGGGGTATCAACTGCATTTTAATAATAAAATCGTGTCTGGTTGGCGGAATATAAGACTTGATTACCTGCCTTAGAATCATCTCTCTCCGCTAGGCTGTGCTCTTTGATACCAAGACAGGTCCATGTCACTAACTTGGTCAAAATCCTGACCTAAAGAGCCCTGATAGGTCAATTCAGTCAACGAATCGTTTGTTTGATTTGATATTAGGAATTACCTCTAGCTTACATTAGAAACGTGCGTGAGGTTATCAATTGATGTTGACTAAAAAGGAACCAGTATGGTAAAATGTTATGAAATAGGTTTGAAAACGTTTAATTCCTATGTCACCATGTCCACCAATGGTTCCCTGTTCTCATCGTTGATGTGAGGTCCGTATCACACGTCGATCACTCGTCCCCATGTCCAACAATGATTCCCTGTCCTCATCGTTGATGTGAGGTCCGTATCACACGTCGATCACTCGTCGCCATGTCCACCAATGGTTCGCTGTTCTCATTATTGATTGGAGGTCAGTATCGGACACGTCGATCCCTCGTCACCATGTCCACCAATGTTTTTCTGTTCTCATCGTTGATGGGAGGTAATTATCGGACACGTCGATCCCTCGTCACCATGTCCACCAATTGATGTTGACTAAAAAGGAACCAGTATGGTAAAATGTTATGAAATAGGTTTGAAAACGTTTAATTCCTATGTCACCATGTCCACCAATTGATGTTGACTAAAAAGGAACCAGTATGGTAAAATGTTATGAAATAGGTTTGAAAACGTTTAATTCCTATGTCACCATGTCCACCAAGGGTTTTCTGTTCTCATCCTTGATGTGAGGTAAGTATCAAACACGTCTATCACTCGTCACCATGTCAACCAATGGTTCCCTGTTCTCATCGTTGATGGGAGGTAAGTATCGGACACGTCTATCACTCGTCACCATGTCCCCCAATGATTCCCTGTCCTCATCGTTGATGTGAGGTCCGTATCGGACGTCGATCACTCGCCACCATGTCCACCAATGATTCTCTGTTCTCATCATTGATGTGAGGTGAGTATCGGACACGTCGATAACTCGTCACCATGTCCACCGATGGTTCTCTGTTCTCATCGTTGATGTGAGGTAAGTATCGGACACGTCAATCACTCGTCACAATGTCCACCAATGATTCCCTGTACTCATCGTTGATGTGAGGTCAGTATCGGACACGTCGATCACTCGTCACCATGTCCACCAATGATTCCCTGTACTCATCGTTGATGTGAGGTAAGTATCGGACACGTCGATCACTCGTCACCATGACTACCAATGGTTCCCTGTACTCAACGTTGATGTGAGGTAAGTATCGGACACGTCGATCACTCGTCACCATGTCCACCAATGGTTCCCTGTACTCATCGTTGATGTGAGGTAAGTATCGGACACGTCGATCACTCGTCACCATGTCCACCAATGGTTCCCTGTTCTCATCGTTGATGTGAGGTAAGTATCGGACACGTCGATCACTCGTCACCATGTCCACCAATGGTTCCCTGTTCTCATCGTTGATGTGAGGTAAGTATCGGACACGTCGATCACTCGTCACCATGTCCACCAATGGTTCCCTGTTCTCATCGTTGATGTGAGGTAAGTATCGGACACGTCGATCACTCGTCACCATGTCCACCAATGGTTCCCTGTTCTCATCGTTGATGTGAGGTAAGTATCGGACACGTCGATCACTCGTCACCATGTCCACCAATGGTTCCCTGTTCTCATCGTTGATGTGAGGTAAGTATCGGACACGTCGATCACTCGTCACCATGTCCACCAATGGTTCCCTGTTCTCATCGTTGATGTGAGGTAAGTATCGGACACGTCGATCACTCGTCACCATGTCCACCAATGGTTCCCTGTTCTCATCGTTGATGTGAGGTAAGTATCGGACACGTCGATCACTCGTCACCATGTCCACCAATGGTTCCCTGTTCTCATCGTTGATGTGAGGTAAGTATCGGACACGTCGATCACTCGTCACCATGTCCACCAATGGTTCCCTGTTCTCATCGTTGATGTGAGGTAAGTATCGGACACGTCGATCACTCGTCACCATGTCCACCAATGGTTCCCTGTTCTCATCGTTGATGTGAGGTAAGTATCGGACACGTCGATCACTCGTCACCATGTCCACCAATGGTTCCCTGTTCTCATCGTTGATGTGAGGTAAGTATCGGACACGTCGATCACTCGTCACCATGTCCACCAATGGTTCCCTGTTCTCATCGTTGATGTGAGGTAAGTATCGGACACGTCGATCACTCGTCACCATGTCCACCAATGGTTCCCTGTTCTCATCGTTGATGTGAGGTAAGTATCGGACACGTCGATCACTCGTCACCATGTCCACCAATGATTCCCTGTTCTCATCGTTGATGTGAGGTAAGTATCGGACACGTCGATCACTCGTCACCATGTCCACCAATGGTTCCCTGTTCTCATCGTTGATGTGAGGTAAGTATCGGACACGTCGATCACTCGTCACCATGTCCACCAATGGTTCCCTGTTCTCATCGTTGATGTGAGGTAAGTATCGGACACGTCAATCACTCGTCACCATGTCCACCAATGGTTCTCTGTTCTCATCGTTGATGTGAGGTAAGTATCGGACACGTCGATCACTCGTCACCATGTCCACCAATGGTTCTCTGTTCTCATCGTTGATGTGAGGTAAGTATCGGACACGTCTATCACTCGTCACCATGTCCACCAATGAGTCCCTGTTCTCATCGTTGGTTGATGTGAGGTAAGTATCGGACACGTCGATCACTCCTCACCATGTCCACCAATGATTCCCTGTTCTCATCGTTGGTTGATGTGAGGTAAGTATCGGACACGTCGATCACTCGTTTGAAACAAGTAATCTTGATTGAACAACAATACACAGTCAATATAACTGTTTTTCAAATAATATCGCAAAATCTCAGTTGTGTAGATGTGACAAATACAAAGTGAACTATAAAGTGGCGATCGTAAGAAACAGAATTTTGATATTTGCGAAAAATGTCAGATGCCATACTGGCAAGGAATATCCCCATTGGAGACATAAATTTCTGCCAATCAAGATTGGTAAGCTGACCTATCGTTTTTCGAATGAAAGCTTGACGGAGAGAAGAAAAACCACCACCTGCTATCATGTCTAGAGGAAACTACCCATATCACCGCCCACATCTATTATTCTCAGCGTCATTGAATCATGTCATTTTCTATAGTAGGTTATGACATGATAACTTCAGTTTAACTCATTAACCCCAGAAATATCATAATGGACTGTTCCAACTTTTGAGTTGGTAGAGTTCAAATGTGTCTTCAGGGGTGAATGAGTTAAAGGAACAATGCTTATTGAATGAATGTAAATGTAGACTGTAAATATTTACCGATACCATCGAGTCTTGCTAATATATCAATGATATACTGATCTAATACGGTCATGTAAAAATGAATTATTATAAATTTACTTGCATAACCGAGTCCAGGAAATATAAAGGTAATGTGCTAACATAAAACCTCAGAGACTGGGCAAAATATGTGATATTGTTTAGGAAAAAATACTTATGTGAGATATCGTTACACAAACCACAAGTAAATTCCATTTAGAATATAACATAATATAACTTAGACGACATCATGAAAGTCCGACGGCATGGTTGGTACTTTGAACATCATATTTCATTTCAAATGATGTTGTTTGCAGACAGGTAATGATATGTCCTTAAATATTAATTAAGTGGTTGTGATATCTTTGCTGGTGACCATAAGGCTAGATTTGTCCTCAGACTTCAGGCTGTACTTGGACCTACTCGCCTCGGGTGTCTACTCTCCGAGACCTGTGTGTGCACTGTCTGGTCTTCCCTTTCTGCCGGGGATACTCGTCTTCTGCGTCTGATGATGATGTACACTATTCCATTCAGGATTCCACCAATGTTAGAAAACGTAGTGACAAACTGAAAGATTGCTTGTGGTACGTCTGCTATGATTTGCCACACACCATAAAACGCCATGGCCCACCACTGGATGAAGAATGCCATTACGAATAACGACATGGACTTGGCCGCTCTGTGGGAGGCCACGACTGTGGACGCATTCTTGCCGACGGTACTTTTGATCCTCTTGGCCTCCGAGCGGATTCGGATCCACGTGAGGACGTACATGATGATATTGATGGCTAGAACTAGAAGGAGTGGAACAGTTGTGAAGAAGATGTTGGTGATAACTCCCTTTACTCCATCAAAGTAGCAACTGCAAACATAGTCAAAATGGTAGAAACATGTTACATAGTTACATTCACAGCTACAAAATGTCATGAATAAAGAACAAATGTCTGAAATACAGAAATTAAAATAGCCAAATATATTCATAATTAATTTTATTTCATCTACAATTTAAGTAAGTTAAATGTGATCCGGAATGCTTTTGTTCTATTGCATAAATTTGGCATCCAAGTTACAATTATATCTTTTATATTTTGTATCAATCTAGTTATATTGAACCATTTAAAATTCAAACGAATTGTTATTAGGTTGAAACTGTAATAAGATTAAATGGATATCATTTAAACATGCTCTAAATTGTTTCATTAAAGGTTCCACAAAGACTAACTATAGATATTTCAAATTCATTTTCAAATCTTTAAAGGGGACTAGATTAAAATCATGAGAGTATGATAAACCTGAAAAACAATGGTGTCTTATGGTTGTTTCGCTGATTTCTACCACGGTTTTAATGTCATTATTTAGCGATGGGTACGGTTGCAATCTTCTACTATCGGCGAGTTACGTGTGTCGACATGATTTAAAGTTGTTGACATTACATGAGAAGATGTTGACATCTTTTATGATATGTTGACATATTTATATATCGTATTTTGATAAAATCTGCATTTTCTGAAACAGTTCTACAGCGATCACTATTCAGCCCTCATATGAATGTGATAGCAGTCGTTTGGTTTGTTTACTGGTATGCAAAAATCGTACATCTGTATTAAGCTTTGAACCTTTTTATATAGTTCTTCGATTGTGCTGGATTTAAATCAATCTGAAAATGTTAGTAAAGGTGAACTCCTAAACGTGGAATAATAACACTGCAGTATTTTCCCAATGGAATTATTAGTCAAATGATCACAAACATTACAATCTGGTCACAAATACAGTATGCTAAAAATGACCTGTGGCACTAGTAGCAAACAGCATTTCTAACTTCAAAACAAGAAAGGTTGTACAGAAGACGTCATATCGATGTCTAATGAATCAGATCGTTAATATAAGTATAAAATCTGAATTTATTGCAATTGACTCAAACCAGTTATAACGCATGAACGATGAGATAAACACGAGATAGAGATGATAAGACTATGCTACCTATCAGTAATGAACACTCCCTATGAAGGTACAATCGTGCGGTTGACAGATCTTATTTCGCTGAACGACACGTAGAGCCGTTAATGAATAACTTGCACATTTCACTAATTGTCATTCGTGACTTATCGATTGCATTGATTTTCTGTTGATGTTACAAACGAATTCCTCATATTTCAAATATTGTTTATCGGAAAGTGATTGAATACATTTTTTTTGTTAAAAGCACTTCATAAAATTGTCCCTGCCGTGATTGTTTCTTTGTGAAATGATATAATCGTTATAGCATTACTTAGAGACGATGATTTATCGATATATAATTTAGGTTTCTTTTGTAATGTCAAAGTTGTACGCGTGTTTTTCTTTTATCTTTCTCTTATGCTTAATCTTTGTTTGGTGAATGATCACATGTGTTTGCATGACTGTGCTATTAGATTAGATCATATCACTGCGCATTCATTCCCAATATACACATATTCCAAACATTCACAAAAAACATATCAATAGATATATATATTAATCAGATACATATTAACCAGATTCGTATCATCAAATACGGACCTTTGTTCAGGTGAATATGTGGTAATATGAACCTCAGAAAGTTATATTAACCGAGACGATTTCGAGTTCAATATCACCTTATCAGGTAAAAACATCCATATATTCACCAAAATAAAAGTCCTTAATTGTTATGTTAGACGCTAAGTAATGATTTAATCGTTAAAAAAAAACAAGATTAAAAAAAACATGAAATTCTACAGAGGAAAGTACTGCATTTAGGAGGGGAGCATAGTGCCGTTACAATTAAACTAACGACCTAAAGTGAATATTTACCCGATTTATATTAAGCAGCTACATATTAACTATATATATTAACCAGCTCCTTATTTACCATACATATATTTACAAGCTCCTTATTTACCATATATATTTACCAGCTCCTTATTTACGATATATATATTCACCAGCTCCTTATTTACCATACATATGTTTACCAGCTCCTTATTTACGATATATATATTCACCAGCTCCTTATTTACCATACATATATTTTCCAGCTCCTTATTTACCATATATATATTAACCAGCTATATATTAACCATACATATATTTACCAGCTCCTTATTTAGCAGATATATATATTAACCAGCTACATAATAACCATATATATATTTACCAGCTACATATTAACCATATATATATTTACCAGCTCCTTATTTACCATATATATTTACCAGCTCCTTATCAACCTTATATATATTAACCAGCTATACATTAACCAAACATATATTTACCAGCTCCTTATTTACCATATATATATTAACCAGCTATATATTAACCATACATATATTTACCAGCTCCTTATTTAGCATATATATATTAACCAGCTACATAATAACCATATATATATTTACCAGCTCCTTACTTACCATATATATATTAACCAGCTCCTTATCAACCATATATATATATTAACCAGCTACATATTAACCATATATATATTACCCAGCTACATATTAACCATATATATATTAACCAGCTCCTTATTTACCATATATATTTACCAGGATCTTATCAACCATATATATATTAACCAGCTATATATTAACCATATATATATTTACCAGCTCCTTATTTACCATATATATATTTACCAGCTCCTTATCAACCATAAATATTTTAACCGGCTATATATTAACCATATATATATTTACCAGCTCCTTATCAACCATAAATATTTTAACCGGCTATATATTAACCATATATATATTTACCAGCTCCTTATCAATCATACATATTTTAACCATCTATATATTAACCATATATATTTACCAGCTACTTATCAATCATACATATATTAACCAGCAACATATTAACCATATATATTTACCAGCCCCTTATTTACCATATTTATATATTAACCAGCTATATATTAACCATATATATATTTACCAGCTCCTTATCAATCATACATATTTTAACCAGCTATATATTAACCACATATATTTACCAGCTCCTTATCAATCATACATATATTAACCAGCAACATATTAACCATATATATTTACCAGCCCCTTATTTACCATATTTATATATTAACCGGCTATATATTAACCATATAAATATTTACCAGGTCCTTATTTACCACATATATATATTTACCAGGTCCTTATTTACCATATTTATATATTAACCGGCTATATATTAGCCATATATATATTTACCAGGTCCTTATTTACCACATATATATTAACCAGCTCCTTATTTACAATATATATATTTACCAGCTCTTTCTTTACCATATATATATATTAACCAGCTATATATTAACCATATATATATTAACCAGCTATATATTAACCATATATATTCACCAGCTCCTTATTTACAATATATATATTTACCAGCTCTTTCTTTACCATATATATATATTAACCAGCTATATATTAACCATATATATATTAACCAGTTATATATTAACTATATATATTTACCAGCTCATTATTTACCATATATATATATTAACCAGCTCCTCATTTACCATTATATTTTAACCAGCTTTATAGTAACCATATATATTTAAACCAGCTTTATAGTAACCATATATATATTTACCAGCTACTTATCAACCATATATATGTTAACCAGCTATGTATTAACCATATATATATATATTTACCAGCTGCTTATCTACCATATATATATTAACCAGCTACATATTTACCGGATAGACAATAAGCAGATGCACCTTAAACTTTTTGTATCAGATATATATGGACTGAGACACAATATCCAGTTCGACGTTTATCACATTAGTAAGCTACTCGTTACCTCACATTGAGTGCTGCTTATTTGCTTTGCCCAAATTTAAGCCAACGGTAATCTATTTTACAAATAGCGTAATTTCTTGAAAGTTACATACTTTCCTGATAAAGAGATTTCCCCTGACAAACAATCTCTTGAACACTACAATAGAGCTTAGTGTTATGTAGATATTTGTGGAACAAACATCTAATATGGTCTCGTGCTCTCGTTTTACAACTAAAACTGTTGGTTATTGGTCTTTATAACATTTGGTATTTTTCCTGAAATATATAATGTTTCTGTTTTACGAAGGAAAAGAAGAAAATGAAATACATTCTTATGCAACCATAAATTATGATTAATTATGTGATGAGCCAATATGAATCTTTTTAATTGTATAATTACCAGTAAGTTTCACATTTATGTATTGCATACAATTTTATATATTCAACAAGAATCAAATCAACTAGATATTTTTTACGCCGATACTCAGTTTATTTAGGTCGATATAACAATGTACACTTAGATTTGAAATTGCTTTTCAGTACGGTTCTTCAAAATGTTTTCTGTGCTTAAGTTACAATTACCAGGTAAAACATCTATCAGAAACTGGTTGAGTTTTATTCTCCAGTCCTGACACATTACTTAAGATATCCACTGATTACCTGGATTAATATACATGTAAGGTTTACTTACAATGCTCCGTTAGGTCCCAGTTGTCCGGCCACACCCGCCACAGTTGAGCAAATACCCGGCAGTCCAAATGTCCACAGTAATAGCTTCCAGTCATATTTTCCGAAATAGATGTGTTTCCGGAAAAATATCAACACAAAGGCATTTATAGCAGCAATGTTAACCAATAAGGTCTGGGCAGTGATAAATTCAGCCAGCATAAATGCGTAAAACTGGCACAGAGCCGGGGGGTACACATGGTTCCTGGTCAGTACTATGTGACCGTGGTCAAGCGTGTGACAAATGTTAAACAAACCGTCACACAACGCTAAGTAGACGACGAATCGCTCACTCTTAGTCCAAGAGAAGAACGTCTTAATGTTCTGAGACTTAAATGAAAACGTTAAGACGAGTATAGCGGATACTAGGCTTAATGCAATGCATGTCATTGCTGGAATGTGGATGAGGTAAAACTGACCGTTGTCCAGTCCGTACACGTCCAGGTCGTAACCACTTAACATCGTTTTATTCTGCATGTTGTTCAGTGTTAGATTAGTACACAATAATTCAATAAACTATCTGGTTCAGGGTAAGAACGATATGCACTGTACTTGGAAAAAGAGCTGCTGGTTATATGTTCACGTGAATTAATGAATAACATTAATACATTTTAAACACAACACCCTTAATTAAGTAGTATACATGTAGCGTATATTGTCCTTGTGTCTTTATAAAACAACATGCATGCGTCATTCACGCTGTTAAGCCAAACTCAACTAGGCGAGCCTGATACTCCAGGGGATATGGTACTGAAACAACAAAAAATGCATAATTGACTAGCCGGTCGATAGTTGATTTGGTTCGTTAACGACAGGTGAGCCTATCTCGTCATTTCAATATAGGGAAATTATTTTCTGTAGACTTAACGAATACAATAAATAACGAAAATAAAAAAAAATAAAAAATAACAAGTTTATGCAACCCGTATTATAAACACGGGTGTTGGGATTGAAATTTGAAAATTAGTTTCACTCAAGGATTACCATTATAGCCACCCATCACCTGTATCCATATCAATTCGATAAAAATGCAATCTTCCCCTCAATGGGGGATCATTGTCTAGTAACAACGGTATTTTCTATCCAATACATTTTATCTGCTGATTTTCTGTTCAGATGCAGATGAAGCGACGATTGAATAAGCATCTGCTTTTCTCATCTTTGGAACAAACGCAACGATATTACATAACTATATAATTGATAATAGGTTTTTTCTTGCACATAATACCAGATAAAACAGGAAATGATTGAACGTGCGATGAGTAGCCCATTAAAATGCCGTGCAGCATTGTAGTGGTACGGCGATCTTTAATTCAAAAACATTTCTTCTTTATGCTTAATGGTTTATAAATAGAAGATGATTTTCTTGTTGAATGCCACTTATGTGTTACTCGTATAACAGACTATATCGATATATTACGGCCATGTTTCTTACTCGAGCATAACGAGTCTACAAAACGTACTGTCAATCTGTTTTACTAAGAAAATATTATTTTCAACGGGAAACCAGTACATCTAACATATATGTTGTCATGACTTTCCATGCCAAATACAATTGATGAAGATGTTTTATCAACCAAAACCTTAATCATTCTCATAATTTCATCTTTTGTTAATTTTGTTTACGTCTTCGTCAAAAAATATCCAACAATATTTAAAAGATAACAAAAATTATTATTTTGAATATAAATCAATGTGAAAAGTATATTTTAGCTATTAACACTATATATCGTGATACATAACTAATAGTGATACTGTTTTGTTTTAAAATATTTTAGATAATCCGTTTTGGAATGCCTAGATAAATCAATTTTGCGCAGTTTGGTTATTATCTTAATTCTTCTAGATGAAGTATTACCAAAAACTACCATCAAAACTTTGTTTTGTGCTCTTTGTTGTGTGTAATTTTGTTAGAAGGTGCCTGGTGATTCATTATGTTCACATGTCTGCATAAAATGTAAGTTTTTGTAGGCTACTGTTGTGAGTCAATAGAGGAACCAAGACGTTACGTACATAGTTTCTTGATCGAAATAAGCCAACACCAGAAAACATGTCGAGACATCGCCAGTTTTTTCGCCATATGATCGACATAAAATGCGATGTTGCTGATCGACCTCTTCTTTATTAGTAGTGAAGTTTTGTGATCATATACGATAGTATGCTGTTGTCCCGTCACGTCTATTGTCGTGATGCCTGGCGTGTCTGGACCAGAGTTTCGCACGCACACTTCTGTCTTGTTGTACGCATATTAACAAGTGTTTTAGAGGCTCGCTAAACACTTGATTTATTTCATGTACCGTTCAAAGTGTAAAGATTTGATATAAACTGTGTATTTGTATACGCTTGATTAAGTGTGTGCATTTGCATCTAATTCAGAACTACATGACTTAAGGTGAATGGTGAATGGTGAGTACAATTACAGATTTGGTATGTGCGTGTTTATCTTGGACTTCCAATTTTCATCCCAGCAACAGAACAAATGACAAAGATTATTAAATAATAACAAAGGACATAGGTAATGAAATAATCAGGAATGTATTTTATGTTTTTCTTGATGAACAATTAATAGCGCTATTTAATCAAATGATTATTAAAACAGCCAATATAAACAAGAAAATAATAAATACATGAAAAAAGACAACATGTATTGAAATACACCTACAGAGACCGAATAGACCTTAAATAGAAACACGTTTATTATGAGCTCATAAAACGACCAAGGCGAAACCAAGAGCTCCAGAAATGCATGAGTTACCTTCACGCACCACATATGGCGCCCTTTATTTTGTATATTGTCAACCCAGGACCACAAGTAGGTCATAACAACAACAAGGTCGTTACAAGGTTTGTTTCAAATCTAAAGCACACATCGTGAAAGGCAAAACTACATTTCAATGCCTTTTACAGTTTAAAAGGTACTTTGACAAAATTTCCTTTAGCATATCCAGTATCATACAGCTTAATCAGTGTGAAAGCATTACTTTTTTTTCTCTTTATTTCTGTTCACAGAACGACAAATGAGAAATATAAGTAATTCAAAAACAGCCCGACAGGGGTTATGAGTTCTTGAAGACGCCTTCTCGATTGCTGTTGTGTCTGTTTCAACCTTCTCTTGTAACACGTTTTTGCAATTAATGTTCAACTCCATTCCACATGCCATACCAAATTTATTTTTGTTCGACTAGCTGTTTACAGGATCTAGAGTACAAAAATCTAAGAATTCAAATTTTACTCATACAGGTCCTTAAAACAGAAATGCCATCAACAAGTGTTTTTCAATGTTATTTAGAATGATTGATTACAAAACTTACTGATAGCACAATAGAGACAACCAATCTTTACGTCAGTATTCGGTTTCCGACGTCGGTTTGTCTGTCATAGTTGTTTTGGTTCTTGTTTTTGGAGATGAAATTGAACGTTAATACGAGATAACCACGAGGACAGCTGTAGATTTGTTTTGAAAGCATTGAAATACATATTTCTTCGACTGCACAGATAACACCAGTTTTATTTGGTGGATCTACATATCCATTCGTAAGCTTTATTTATCTGCGGTTGTTTGGTAGGTCGGGTTGTTTAGTGGATAGCGCACTTGCCTTTCACCAAGGCGGCCGGGGTTCGATTCCCCGATCGGACGTGAAAAGATATGGGGTCACCTGCCCGACACGTAGGTTTGCTCCGGGTACTCCGTTTCACTCCCACATATAGACCCTCCGCGCGCTAACATCCGGGCCATTAAGAGTGATTAATATAGGTTGAAATAGCTTGTTTCATAATTGTTGTAAAATAAAAAAAGTTTGTATTTAAATTTGCGGATGGATACATTTGCTAAAAGGTTCAAAACTTTGAATCTTCGCTATCTCACACCCAAAAGAGTTAAAACATTCTTCACTCCTGAAACTAGGAAACGATTATTTTGTCCCACTCTTAAAAGGATTTTTTCCTGAAAAAAAATTGTACAACAAACGCCAGGCGTTAGAATGGCATCATGTTCCTTTAAAAAATTACGTCACTCATTTGCTTTTTTACTGTGTAGTCACAGAAACCGTGCAGGGTGTCTTTCCTCGTTAACCCCGTCTTTTGATAATGTACGGTTATTAATCTGCCCGCTAAATATAGTTGTTTGCCTGTATTTTGATTGTTGAATCTGTCAGTGCGTTAGGATGAACCAGTTTTGAGTGACAATGGATATAACGTATACCCACTCAGAAGTGATCGATTCGCATGCATTCACCACATGACGACGCTCTTTTGCTTTGTTTAACAATATCGATTAGATAATCTTTTTTTGAAAGGCTTCGATTTACAGTATTTTTTGTTTGTGCGTAAAAAGCTGTACGTTCTCGTTACAGTAAGATTTTCAGTTACAAAATAAAGTATATAAACTGTAAAGTTGATTGCCCTTAGATTAGCAAAGTGTGTCACACTTAACAATACCCCCGAGTACATCATCAGTCAGGATAATTTTGAAGATATATAAACACACATGTATATATAAATAATGGCAACTACAATCAGGTACCAGTCTGTTTTGTTTGGTCTGGGTTTTTTCGTCCTTGTTATTTTTTGGAGGTGGGGGGGGGGGGGGGGGGGCATCTGACATTTGAATTGCGTCAAAACAGGTTGTGAATGAATACATATAGTGTCAAGTCAATGGTCTAAGACATTTGTTTGGGGAAGAAAACTAACGTTGAGCTGTGAGACACAATAGGTTGTGTGGTATTTTACTACTCATTAAATCAGAGGTTCTTGTTTGTTCGTTTTTCCGAGCCGTGGTGCATACTTGCACATTTTTCTAGATAATTGCTTTAAATATATTTTATTTGCAAAAATACAAGACAATTGATACGTTAAATAGTGTTATGGCTACTTTCCAATTACATTAGTCAGAGTTACTTATTTGAACTGTCTAACAGTTTTTTTATTTTGATGAAACATTAGATCTTCCAAAGGAAAACGCTACTCGTGTCTTTTTTATCCACGTAGACCACGTACCACACGATTTACACTACTAAGTGCTTATGCCCTGGTAATCATTCTGCTTCCATTAAATTAATTTATAAAATCTACATATCAGTGTTTCATGTGTACTCTGTGACAGCAATATATAAATAATTTTACAATGCCCAAAACTCGGATACAAAAACACAAAACAACACAAAAAGTAGGCCAGGAATATCTGTAAACATAATTCTGTAAAACTTAACTACACATTACGTGTTCGTTCCCAGGCCGACATCAACCTTCACAGGTGCGGTTAGTTCTCGGACGTCACATAGGCTTACCGGAAGTAATTTAAATACTATGCTAATTTATGTTGTTTCTTGTGATACAAGTGTCTCGACTACCACTGTCGCCCAGTGTAACGGAGAGCGCAGCTACAAGGAAATCGATACACATATTAACTACAGCGTTACACACACACAATTTCTTGCACGGATTTACATTACTTTAATGTATCTTCTAACTTAAAAGGGGAAACTGCTGATTGAAAAAATATCTTACGTACATTAGGCTTCACTTGTTAATGATATCGATCAGCAGACATTAAATGGGTCCTTTTAGTGATTTTCTTTTCTAAATTGATATTACAGTTATAAAATATTAAAATCGTGAAAAATTCTACATTAAACGAATGTTTGTCTATAAGATATGGAATGACGTGTTCGAGATTAAGAAACTATTTGTAGAATATATTAAAAATTGATGTAATCCAATTTTAATAGACCGATTGTGTACTATTCCTTAAGTGTATAGGACGGGGTACAATCGATTGACCTTCGTGACATGCATAAACATCTTTCTAGGCATACATTTAAATGTTTAGCGTATATCGTAATTTTACACGGTAGGTATGACTTATTTTAATTATTAATGAACATAAATTAGTTACGTAAGTATAGCACGCTTACAAAAAGAAATCTGTAAAAGTAGCAGACAAATATGTTTCACTTTTCTATATCTGAATATAAGACATATGTGGATGATGATGATGAGTTACATGTATTTCTATTGACAAAATAGGCTTCTATGTTCATTATTTAGTTGCCTTATGTTTATTTTCAAACGTTTGCCTTAAGATATTTTTTAAATGTACATGAAGAACTGATTTATGATTTTATAATAGAGTATAATCACTTAACATTTATTTTTTCACTGTACATTTGATAAACTAGTCGTCGCTTTCATTGACGAGAGTGTACAGTATTTTCAATACTGCCTTTGTGGACATTACAGGTTACTATCAAGCTTATGTTTGATTCCTGTCTAACTCAACTTATGTCAAGGTCACATGCATCTATATTTTTAATAATAAATCATGCATATTAAACATGTTAACTAGACGTTTAGGATGACAATGCTTGGTGAAACTACCTGTTTACAACACAGCGCTATAGTCACTCACATACGTTTCCGGAGCGTGTCAAGCGTTCATGAGATCAGTGCAGTAGTGAGGTTCCGCTCATGCATGATCATCAAAGGCTTATAAGTACGCCATAGAAAAGGACAATGATACAATTATTGCAGTGTCCTTTGCTGTATAAACCATCCAACATGCGTATCGAACACAATGTTATTATTTATAATACATCAACAACATCGTCAATTACTTCCTGGTATCTTTCCTAGTCCTTTAAGGCGAGTACCTTATTATACCTTACCAATCACTGAAACTGATCGACCACCAATAGAAGCATATATTACTGGATGTAAAAGACAAAGCTGGCGCTTTATTTGTATATTTATTTTATTTACTTTTTGTACATAAGATTTAAGAATGAAACTATTGGTATATATACAGTTTAACATTCCTTAAATTTACTGCTACATTATACAACACTAACTCAATATACTGTTTAACACGAAATGCCCGTTGTGTATAAGCATTCGTGGTTGTAGAACCACGAAAATAAATACAACGAATTTACTTGATATTATTGACTACTTTTTCGCGTATGACGATACTTGTTCTTTTTAAAGTAGTATATGGAAATACTCGAAATACTGGTGGTTGCCGCCTTCATCCTATCTGCTTACGCTCCTCCACACTTTATTTCCCACGAGTGATTGCACAAATTGGGATGCAACGGTGAAAGTTCTACCCACCCAACAATCGAACTATCCATACATTTGTTAGTTGCAATTGTTATGTTAGAGAAACTGCGCTGACACGTAACACTCTATGAAGTCATCACTTCTCGTCCATTAACGCTCTCTGCAAATAATAATTACCAAATGAATTGCAATAGTTCTTCCACTATTCCTGTTTATTTCTCTTCGATTTTGTTGTCGTGTGTTGAGACAAGAAGTTGACTCTAAATGAGGGATACCGCGAGTAAATGAACGTGATTATCACCCACCTATGTTTGTTGATATACATATACGCCGTCTATCACATGTAAATATCTCTTGTCAATGAAAGTGTATATTGTTATTTGTAACAGAGCTTTACATCGGTACAACGGTTTATAACATATTCTAAAGCGAACACTCTCTATCAGAAGCTGACGGAGATAGCATATATTGAACTTTTTTAAATCATGAAATGTTTCATAAAATATTGAATATGGTGTCATTCAGCCATTATTCTCAACTAATTGACCGTCATTTCTTGTATCTTCCCATTCAGAAGTTGTTGTTTCGATATTCTCATTGTATGTTGACCCTATGGTGATGCTCTAAGTATTTCCAACGATGTAAAGTAAGTGCGCCATTCTTGACTTTCTTTGAGGGTTTTTTCTACCTGTAGGCACACTCCTCTGATATCCTAGTTCTTCATTTCTGTTACGGCCAACAGCGTCATTCCCCTAATGGTACGACGGATATCAACATCGATAACTGTTTCGTACATACCGGTTCAAATACCCTTTTCAAAGTAATTTAACAACATTTATAGATATTTGGAATGAAACAGATAAATGCTTTATTGACAGTAACTTTCTTTTACAAAGACTGATAAGAAAACACAATTGGATGTCCGACTTTACAACAATCAAGAAATCAATCCCACAAAAATATCACCAAATAATTAAACATGATGTGTACCAAGATAAGGAGTGCTTCATTAATTTTGAATAACAACTCATTATAAAAAACAATGTAAAACATCAGCACTTTATCATTCTACCTAAAATACTTAAAGAACATAATATACATAACATGGTTATGTCTGACTGTAAACCTAATGCAAAATTACTATCAAACTAGACATATTAAGATAAAAACCTGGGGAAATTTTTGGACCAAAATTGCAATTAATGAATAGATCTGACGGAAAATGTCATTTTTTGTGAAAACATAGAATCGCTTTGTCATCTGTTTTTGTTATTAATTTACAGCAGTTTAAATCACATGTAGAACTTCATATATCTGATAATCTTTTGTGGAAATACAAATTAATTAACATCATTAGAAATGAGAAGAAATATATCTACTTCGGGATTATGAAGATGACCAGAATAATTAATGTTACACGTTTACAATAACTATGAAAAATACACTTTGGAAGGTTCGAAATATAGTAAAATACCAAAAACAAGAACATTACTGTCACTTCTGCCTTTGCAATATTAAAAGTTATGTTATTACATAAAACAGGATTTTTTCTTAGAAAAAAGAAACCAATAAATGAAGAATAGTTTTATACCATCAAAGAATCACTTATATGAGGAAGTATTGTATGTACTTGTATGTTGATATATGAGTATAAACACAACTGTGTTGATTTAATGTTACTATGGTGATTTAGTGCAACTGTAATAAAATGTCACTATGGGTATAAAGTGTAACCATGGTAACAGAACTGTGATAATATAGCGTATACAGTCACTATTGTAATATCGTGTAAATCAAGACATACGTTTGGTAAAAAAAATAGATATACACCTTGTAGTATACATAGTTTTTATGTGTTATGATGATGACGCTTGTCTTTGTGTATATGTGATTGCGTATATGTGATGATGATGATGATGATGATGATGATGATGATGATGATGATGATGATGAACCCTTGTCTTTGTCTGCATGTTAGAGTATGTGGGGAATGTATGTCATGTTTATGTATATGTATAAAAAAAGACAAATAAAATGGATCGACCAATAAAAAAAATATCCTTTACATTTGTACAAAATATGAACATGTTCCCATCATTTTATACATCTACACCTTAGAGTCCAAATCAACGGTATCCAATGTCCGGTCGATACTTGGACCGTTACCAGAGTCCAGCTTGGATTTAGATTCTTTAGTTTTTTCCTTTTCATAATACCCCTTCATCTTACGGCGTCTGATGATAACGTAAACAAACCCGTTTAGGATCCCTCCGACATTGGAAAAGGTTGTGACGAATTGAAATAAAGCTTGTGGAATGTCTGCTGATAACTGCCACACACCATATAGCGCCATAGCCCACCATTGCGCGAAGAATGCCGTCACAAATAACGACATTGTCCGAGCAACTTTATGAGAGGCTCTAACTGTTGTCGCTTCTTTCCCGATCACGTTCTTAAGACGCTTGGCTTCTGTGTGAATCCTGTACCAGGTAAACACGTACAGGACGATATTGACGACTAACACAAGCAATAGAGGAACTGTGGTGAAAAATACGTTTGTTATCTCCCCTTTCACGCCATCGAAGTAGCAACTGCAAAAAACAATAACAAGAATACAATACTTTTTATAGTTTGCTTAATATTTATCGGCACTTGTGCTTATTTTCATTCGGAAAATTATTTCAAAGGCAGAACTCATATACTATTGTAGTCTAATATGTGAAATATCACGGGCAAATAATTATATCTCATGTAATTTCAAATCATTTTAAAACAATTAAATACTCGTGTATTATACTTACAATGCCCCGTTCGGACCTAGTTGATCTGCTATCCCTGCGATCGTGGCACCAACAAAAGGTGCTCCATACGTCCATAATAGGAGTTTCCAGTCGTATCGTCCGAAGCATATGTTCTTTCTATAGTAGATCAATACGAACGCATTGATAGCCACTATATTGACCATCAGGTTTTGTGCTGTGATGAATTCTGCTAACATGAAACCATAAAACTTACAAAGTTCGACAGGGTAAACGTGATCCCTGGTTATGAGTATGTGGAGGTGGTCCATGGAGTGAGCTATGTTAAAAAGTCCGTCGCACACTGCGAGGTACACCACGAAACGCTCGCTCTTTGTCCAGGTGAAAAAGGATCTGAAAGTCTGGAGACGGAATGAATCTACTAAAATCAGTACTGCGCAGACGAAACTAATCGTGATGCAAGTCAGTGCTGGAATGTGAATATATAGAAACTGGCCGTTGTCAAGTCCGTACACCTTCAGGTCGTAACCGGATGAAAGTGTTGTCGGTGTCGTATTGACCATTGTGTCCTTAACGCCAGCCATCCTCACCTCTGTTACACTTTTCAATAGCGTGACGATTTTCCTTCAGTTCGATACTTGTTCAGTTATGTAACGTAGAAGTTACGTATTCAGGTATTATGATAATAATATGGTGATGAAAGGTTCAGAATATTTACGCAACTTCATGTCCACTCTTTGCAACTTTACATCTCTTCCGTGTTAATCTATGCTCCTTTCAAGCTGATACTAGCGGATAGTTTAATGATTTACGAGTGTTTCACTATTATATAGGGCCAGAGAGTGTTTCGTAAGTGCATGTCGATGTTCACGTGCTCGTCCTTCCGATGTTTATGTGCTATAAGGAAGTAAGTCATCGAGGTGCTTCGTACGTCAGTGATCCTCCCCGCTCGTCAATAGTCTGATATATCAACAAATATAACCCCTGCAGCTGCGTAACGGAAAATCATCTTCGGTGATAGACAATGTCTTTCTATATAACGTCATAATCCACAAAATAGATGAATTAAGTCTGCTTATCTGTGTTATTTCCTCGTTCATTATAATCAGCTAGAGGTCCTTTTACATAGAAAATCTGCCTTTTTTAATATTTCAAATTAAAGGTCATCTTTTAATACCCATAAATAAATCATGAATGATTATAGATACTGTTTGGAAATGTCGCTTTAATTCTAAACTTTGACTTACTTTCGGGACATCATGCGTAAGACTTTGTAGTGAGAAAGATGTTGAGGTGTGTTTTGGTGTACGTGTGTACATATAATGTCTTTGTGTGCATTAATGTATATTTGTATTTAAGCATTGAACTGTTTTTGTATGGTATTTATGATCTATTTGAATGACACATATTTGCAAGCAAAAAACCGCATTATGAGTTGTTTGCTTGCAAAGCTGTGTCATTCAAATATATCACAAATACCATACAAAAACAGTTCAATACTTATATTTACGTTTTCTCTTCCTCTTATGCTCTTTTTAACTTATAATTTATATTTAAAATTAAAAATGCCCGTCTTATCGACAGTCCACACAATTTCGTTCAATAATTTGAACAGCGTATTGTCGCGTGCTGATTGGCAAACAATGTAGTACTTTGAGATTTTAACAAAAACTTCAATTTTATTCCACAATTCAGTATCAATACAATTGCGTATGATATGTCTATGGGGTTATTTAAGTTTATCAATAGAAATCTGAGCTGAAAGTTAGATTTTAAATTGTTCCGATTTTCCCCCTGTTGATCAGTGCAATGTAACAGACGATATTTCTGATAAATTGCTTGAGTGTCAAAATTGTTTCCGTTGCCGGCATTGACGATTTCAACCGATGTGCATTTTGTACGATATTGCAGACCTTGGTCTTGTTTTTGTTGTAATAAAAGTATTTTTTATTTACTTTTTTCTTTTGCACATAAATTTACAATGATATTGTCAAGTCTCACAATGCCCAACGATATTTCAGCAGCCGTCATGTTTATTTACATTGGATATTGTAGTTCCGGTCAGTGTTGTATTAATACGCTAATAATTGTGTCTCGTGCTGCATGGTAATTAAAGTCCCATCAACGACACAGCTTTCAAAGAGGCTAGATATAGTGACAATGCCATGCAAATGTAAATATAATAGCATATATGTGCATATAACTGTATGTGAGAACATTGGTATATGTGTGTACATTGATGAACTTGTGACATGTAATGTATGTGTGTATATATAATGTATGTATGTATATATAATGTAAGTGTGTATATATAATGTATGTGTGTATATGTATTGTATGTGTGTATATATAATGTATGTGTGTATATATAATGTATGTGTGTATATATAATGTATGTGTGTACATAAATTTGCGTGTGTACATGTAATGTATGTGTGTATATATAATGTATGTGTGTACATTAATTTGAGTGTAGGCAAGTAATGTTTGTAAGTATATATACATGAAATGTATATAATGTATGTGTGTACATTAATTTGAGTGTGAACATGTAATGTATGTGTGTATATATAATGTATGTATGTACATTAATTTGTGTGTGAACATGTAAGGTATGTGTGTATATATAATGTATGTATGTACATAAATTTGAGTGTAGGCAAGTAATGTTTGTACGTATATATACATGTAATGTATATAATGTATGTGTGTACATTAATTTGAATGTGAACATGTAATGTATGTGTGTATATATAATGTATGTATGTACATAAATTTGAGTGTAGGGAAGTAATGTTTGTAAGTATATATACATGTAATGTATATAATGTATGCGTGTACATTTATTTGTGTGTTGACATGTATATGTGTATATATAATGTAAATGTGTATATCTAATTGTGTGTAGACATGTAATATATGTGTAGGTATATAATGTATGTGTGTATATACATGTAATATATGTGTGGGTATATAATGTATGTGTAGGTATATAATGTTTGTGTGTATATATAATTTAAATGTGTACTTTTATTTGTGTGTTGACATGTAATGTATATGTGTATATAAATAATGTAAATATGTATATCTAATTGTGTGAAGACATGTACTATATGTGTATATATATCAGAAATGCGTGTATATTAATTTGCATGACGACATGTAATGTATGTGTGTACATAAGTTTTGTGTGGACATGTAAATATATAAAACATGCCTGTGCATCTTTGTGTGACAAATAATGTATTTGTGTATACGGCTGTACATTTATCTGCGTGTTGTAAATAATGTATGCGTGTATTTAGAATTTATGTATGTACTTTAATTTGTGTGTGGACATGTAATGTATGTGTGTGTATATAATACATGTCTGTACAGTACTGTACAATTGTGTGTGGCAAATAATGTATGTGTGTGTATATAATATACGGCTGTACATTTATTTGCTTGTGGAAAATGATGTATGTCTGTACATATAACCGTGTGGTAACAAAACGTAACGTATTATATCATACTTTAGTATTACACTAGTCTAAGTAATGAAGTTATATGTTATCACAACATGTATTATTAGTTATCTGCGCTGTTAGTCGACGGATATGGTTTCACATCCCCAGTCGGACTTGATATTTCCTAGCCATATTTACCGATCCTGCCATTTACTTTGACGTTTTCAAAAGGCTCTGTGGCTGATTTGCACGACCGTCTTTCATGTACTACAAGATATTGATTTATTTTACTCATCCAATGTATGTTATGTATGTTAATAATATATTTTCCGTGCTCTTGGAATGACATTTGAAACGCCATAACACTCAAAGATGTGAAAAAAACCTCAACCAGATTGCTCATGTGATAGGAAATAATAGTTTTTCCTTAGCAAACCAAAGTGTAGATAGTGGTTATCCTTTCAATTAAATTGACGTTTTAACCCGATAGTCTGGCATAATTTTATCCAGAATTATTGAAAGGATTGATATAGTCACATCTATCTATACCTTATCATCTATTAAAAGAAATAGATGTGTTTATGTAAAACCCGTGTCTTATCATGTTGGACAGAGTATCACTCCCCGGTATGGTTTTAGGTGGTTATATTCATGATAACGTTGTCAATAGTGAAAGACTGGATGGATCTAAGATTTGTTAATACACAACATTCCCATTGAGTTGCGACAAAGACCGTACATGCGGTACCAGATTCCACCTTGTCTATCTATCGGGAAGCGTGTTTCCTTATTACCTTCACTTCGTTCACATCTATAATTGTTGGGTGTTTTTCGCTATAAAACTTTCAAACCTTTTAAAAGTTGGATTCAAGACGTAAGGACCATCGTAAAGAGTAAAACCGTCCCCTGTTACCTAATCAGATTTCAGGAATAACCAGGATTTTTTGGAGTTATACGTTGTATACCAAAAAAAAACCTGTGTGCACTTTGCTTAAATCAGCGATGGGGTCTACGCACATAAGAACGCCCGGTTTAGTTCGGTATAGATCGTATGACCACAACAATATCCATGGTTACAACCTATAAATTAATTTCTAAAAAGACAGACAACACCTTTTAGTTCATAGTCAATGAATATTTATTCATTTCTGATAAAAACAAAGAATATTACTCCAAATACAGCATTGAGCTGTGACCGTATCGGCGGGTAACTTCTATAGAATATACAAATGTAACCAATACCGCGCCAAACAATGCGGTAAATGACGACGTCATCACTTTATGTGTTGTCTTATTATTCGTTGTCTTACTTTTAGGTTACACGATATAATTGAAAAAAAGAGGGGATAGCCAAAATTAAAATATCACGTAAAACATACATGCATAGGGATATTTCAGTCTATGGTAAGGCACATATTTTCATCCAAATGTAACTGATGCACTAGACTGAATCTTATAACCATTGCTTAGGAAACAAGATTACCACCGAAGTATATTTTCATCACCAGAATATAGTTTCATAGAATGATTTCTGGTGTTAAGTTTTCGGACAATGGTTTATAGGTAAAAGTATTTTAAATAAAAATCGCCATCCCAAGGCTAGTCAATTAAACCATACTATGCAACTCCATTTACTTGCACCGTTTTCTGAAATTTTATTGAAATGTCTGTCGATGAAGAAATTATATCAAAGTGAGATTGTTTATCGAAAATGAGTTTTATTTTTACATGGTGATATGACATTCCCCTAAACCTTACTCTACGTATATGAAGGCCTTCACCAATACTTACTGATTTACACTTAAAACATTATATTTGAATTAGTTTAGTGTTCATTGAACGTTGACATGTTGTTAAATTTTAGAAATAGCTATTGGTGCACATCATCATGGTTTCATAAGTGATGTGGGAAAATACCAATAAACAGTTATCCTACAGATGTAAACCCATGCTGACTCTCCACTCTTCTGGACAGTGTTTATGTTTATTTCATTTTAAATGAAAAAAAAATACTCTTATTATTAATCACGCTTTTATATCTAAGATCACCTACGTTGAATGTAAATTTCCCCAGTGTCAACAAACCAGGAGAAAATGTACCACAGTGTCAACAAACAAGGTGAAAATATTCCACAGCGTCAATATACCAGGAGAAAATATTCCATAGTGTCAAGAAACCAGGAGAAAATATTCCACTGCGTCAATATATCAAGAGAAAATATACCACCACAGCGTTAATATACAAGGTGAAAATAAACCACAGCGTCAACTAACCAGGATAAAATATACCACTTGATATTAAAACACACCAGGATAACATATACCACTTTGTAAACACACAAGGGAAAAAATATACCACAGCGTCAACACACCAGGAAAAAAGATACCACAGCGTCAACAAACCAGGAGAAAATATTCAACAGCGTCAACACATCAGGAGAAAATATACCACATTATTATTTTTTCATATTATTCCCGACAGGAGATTGGCCAGGAGTGCATCACGTGTCCACCGATAAAAACTGATATTGACTTGGAGCCCGTGATTTTTGTTGAAGGACTGGATGTTTCTGAAAATATAACTATGACGTGTCTCCAAACGATGCACCGTCCCACTTCCAAGGCTTTTTCATGGAGTTTTTTTCAGATTGCTAACATATCTGTTTTGTTAAATAATAAATCAATTGTAGCCTTTAACTTCGATCAATACCTGTATTTATCGACCCTAGAAAAGATATATTGACCTCGGACTGCGTCCTCAGTTAATATATATCTTTCCTCGGGTCGATAAATACAGGTATCGACCTCAGCCAAAGGCTATAATTGAATAGCGTCAACACACCAAGAGAACATTTTCCACAGCGTCAACACACCAGGAGAAAATTTTCAAAAGCGTCAACACACCAGGAGAAAAGATACCACTTTGTAAACACATCAAGGGATAATATACCACAGCGTCAACAAACCAGGAGAAAATATTCAACAGCGTTAACACACAAGGGGAAAATATTCAACAGCGTCAACACACCAGGAGAAAAGATACAACAGCTTCAACACACCAGCAGAAAAGATACCACTTTATAAACACAGCAGGAGAAAATATTCAACAGCGTCAACACCCAAGGACAAAATTTACCACTGCGTCAACATACCAGGAGAAAATATTCAACAGCGTCGACACACCAGGAGAAAATATACAACAGCGTCAACACACAAGGAGAAAATATTCAACAGCGTCAACACACCTGGAGAAAATATTCAACAGCGTCAACACACCCGGAGTAGAGATACCACAGCGTCAATACACCAGGATAAATATACCACAGCGTCAACGCACAAAGAGAAAATATTCAACAGCGTTAACACACCTGGAGAAAAAATACCACAGCTTTAATACACCAGGAGAAAATGTTCAACAGAGTCAACACAACGTCAACCAAACACACCAAAAAATAAAGCAGTAGAAAATATGCCAAAGTGTCAACAAATTATGAAAAACTATACAAAAGCGCCAACGCATTAGGAAATAAACAAGGAGAAAATCTATCAAAGCGTCAATATACATACAAATAATATGACACATATAACGCTAGACATCCAAAGCATCTGAACAAACCAATTTATCTCATTGAATAATTAATTGAATTTTGACTTATTGTGTCATATTTTTAAAAGATTAGAAAATGTTCCACATTTATTTATACCAAAAGTATTATTTTACAAAAGTATGGGCCATTAAAAGTACATGACAAGGAACATGTATTAACCAATATGTCAGCATAGATACACAAAACGATAAATGAAATTAAGTAGCATATAGTCTGACCACCGGACCCTGCTTGTTTTTACAATTATCATATGAATATATACATAGATAAATTAGAACCCAGGGCGAGGTTTTTTAAGATTAAAAAATTGATGATTCAACATTTATCACAAAGGTTAAGATTTCTCGATAAAGGCAAATCAGTTAACTTCTGAGCCAACCGACCACCCAGGTCTGTTTAATACGTTAAGTCAAACACACCTTTGAGCTTCTTCATTATTTTAAGATGCCACGCAATCCTTTGTCCCAAACAGGTGTTGAAGACAAATACCTAATGACCCTTGCATCACAAAAGCTTCGCTACTGGTTGCGAACAATACTTGATGAAAGGTATGAATAGGCATGATATCGTTATATAACAATTGTAGTATGCTGTATACCGGGAAATGTTCCCAGCAGTTTGATTTTCGCCTTTTCGTCCTCCGTAATGAATTGGGTTTTTTCATAACAGCGCATATCAGTAAACAGCATAATATACATAGAGCGTAAATATGAAGGGCGAAATTAGCACTGGGCGACAATTGATTTCATGGGCGAACGACAAGGTATACAGTATTCTTGTTCAAATATAAGCCTCACGAAACATTACTGCAGTGAAAGATAGACTATTATAGAGTTAATATTTTCCATATTTGATTATTAAGAGTGTAAACACAATGAACATCTACACATCGGAACTGCTGTCCCGGTTAGATGTAGAAGTTTCTTTCATCTTCTCTTTCTCGTAATACCCAGTCATTTTACGGCGTCTGATAATCACGAAAATAATCCCATTTAAGATTCCTCCAATATTTGAAAATGTAGTAACTAAATGAAAAAGAGTTTGCGGAACGTCTGCTGTTGCTAATTGCCATATACCGTACAGCGCCATCGCCCACCATTGGACGAAAAAAGCAGTCACAAATAACGACATTGTCCGAGCTATTTTGTGGGAGGCTCTGACTGTTGATGCCTGTCTCCCGATCACATCTTTTAGACGCTTGCCTTCCGTGTGTATCCTGTACCAGGTAAGCACGTATAGGACAGTGTTTACTACTAAAACCAGCAATAGAGGAACCGTTGTGAAAAATAAATTCGTTATCTCCCCTTTAACACCATCGAAGTAGCAACTGAAACAGAGCAAAATATATGCAGTATATATTATATGATATCTATACATATGTATACGAGATAAACTATATTTCTAAAATATATCTAGCATATCATTTCAAAGCATTGTGAACAACGACCTTTACACCCTATTGGTACCTACAATGCCCCATTCGGACCTAGTTGACCCGCTATCCCTGCGATCGTGGCACCAACAAAAGGTGTTCCGAACGTCCAGAGTAGAATCTTCCAGTCGTACCGCCCAAAGTATAATTTCTTTCTATAGAAGATCAACACGAACGCATTGATAGCCACTATATTGACCATCAGGTTTTGTGCTGTGATGAATTCTGCCAACATGAAACCATAAAATTCACAAAGTTCGGAAGGATGCACGTGATCTCTTGTTATTAGTATGTGGAGATGGTCCAGAGAATGAGCCACGTTGAACAGTCCGTCGCACACTGCCAGGTACACCAAGAAACGCTCGCTCTTTGACCAACTGAAAAATGTTCTGTAACTCTGGAGACGGAAAGCTTCCTTTATAACCGCTACAGCGCAGATGAAACTGAACACTATACAAGTCAGTGCTGGAATATGAATATATAGAAACTGACCGTTGTCAAGTCCGTACACCTTCAGGTCGTAACCTGACAAAAGAGTTTTCTGTGTCGAACTGACCATTGTGACATTATTGCCGGCCATTGTTGTCATTTATATTTTCCGTCTAGTTCACAGTGAATGTGTCCACTTCCTGTTGCCTACTTTTAGGGAAATTATAGTTAAGTAATATTTTGATAATAAATATTTTCCAAACGATTTAAACGAGGAAAATAAACATCGACACAAAGCACGCTGACTCACGCGTTATCAAATTATGTTTTGTATATGGCTATATTCCAAGTATATTGTAAACCAGGTCAGTTCCACGTTGTTGTTCCTCGTGTATGTAACGGCTGTGTCTATTTTTCAACTACTACGCTATTATCGTTATGATGTTTAAAACAAGCAGATAATAGCGAGAGCATCCTAGGTTTCAGAGGATACGCAATATATGACAGAGGATGTGTTATGTACCGTATAACTACAGTCCGTGTTGTGTTGTGATATGCGGTTTAGAATCAGACATAGTGTTTTTATCTGTAAATAATGTGATATCGTGTAAACAGTCCTAGATTACACCTGGAAGTCTTCCGTGTTCGTGACATCCCTGCTAAACACAAACAAAACAAAAAAACTGTAAAACGTTATCTGTTTCGACAGGCAATAACGATAATGTTAACTTTTCTTGTTTTCTCGTGATACGAAAACTTTAATTATAATAATACATAAATTAAAAGCGTTTAACCTTGGAGTAAACCAGATAGAGACGACCTTATGGCTTCCCTTTAAACACAGTTCACAGTTCACTAGTGTGACAGAACATTCACTATTTACATTAGTAATTTCATGACACAGAAATATCGGAGTAGGGAATACCTTGGCCTAGATAAGTTGTGAACTACGCTTTCACTTATAGATGTAACAATAAGACAGCACAAACATTTTTTTCTGGGAAATCACTTGCATTTACTAAGTAGAATAGACAATTTAGGTCACGTTGACAAATAATGGCGTGTACAAATCCTGCACTTCCTAAAGTAACAGCCCATTAGTTTGGTGAAGCTCTCTATAACAAGGAAGTTATTGCCCGGTGACAGATTGCTTTTACAGTTATATAACAGTAGCTGCACATAAAAGAGCTTCAAATTCCTTACATGGTCCTTCTCTATATCTCACATAAAAAAACGCATATTTTTTTGTTTCCGTTATGCAATTTACCTGTTATTGAATGTACCTCTATACATTAGCGGTTTAAGTTAAAAACATGTAAAGAACTCAATTTGTCAAGTTTCGTGTGTATTTGTATTCAGTTTTTTCATTTCCCCGTCTCTTTTTTCTGACGGAATCAGGAAATGAACATCATATTTGATTCTGCCATTTAAGTCTGTTCTTTTGTTGACTGCCCATTGAATAAATGTAACTTTATGGTAGATCTTTGTAAGTCAGTATATAACGATGTCACTGGGTGTGTAGGTTAGTTTGTGAGATGTGTGTGTGATAAGTATAGTATAGATGTCACAGTGTGAGTAGGTTAGTCTGTGAGATGTGTGTGTGATAAGTATAGTATAGATGTCACAGTGTGAGTAGGTTAGTTTGTGAGATGTGTGTGTGATAAGTATAGTATAGATGTCACAGTGTGAGTAGGTTAGTTTGTGAGATGTGTGTGTGATAAGTATAGTATAGATGTCACAGTGTGAGTAGGTTAGTTTGTGAGATGTGTGTGTGATAAGTATAGTATAGATGTCACAGTGTGAGTAGGTTAGTTTGTGAGATGTGTGTGTGATAAGTATAGTATAGATGTCACAGTGTGAGTAGGTTAGTTTGTGAGATGTGTGTGTGATAAGTATAGTATAGATGTCACAGTGTGAGTAGGTTAGTTTGTGAGATGTGTGTGTGATAAGTATAGTATAGATGTCACAGTGTGAGTAGGTTAGTTTGTGAGATGTGTGTGTGATAAGTATAGTATAGATGTCACAGTGTGAGTAGGTTAGTTTGTGAGATGTGTGTGTGATAAGTATAGTATAGATGTCACAGTGTGAGTAGGTTAGTTTGTGAGATGTGTGTGTGATAAGTATAGTATAGATGTCACAGTGTGAGTAGGTTAGTTTGTGAGATGTGTGTGTGATAAGTATAGTATAGATGTCACAGTGTGAGTAGGTTAGTTTGTGAGATGTGTGTGTGATAAGTATAGTATAGATGTCACAGTGTGAGTAGGTTAGTTTGTGAGATGTGTGTGTGATAAGTATAGTATAGATGTCACAGTGTGAGTAGGTTAGTTTGTGAGATGTGTGTGTGATAAGTATAGTATAGATGTCACAGTGTGAGTAGGTTAGTTTGTGAGATGTGTGTGTGATAAGTATAGTATAGATGTCACAGTGTGAGTAGGTTAGTTTGTGAGATGTGTGTGTGATAAGTATAGTATAGATGTCACAGTGTGAGTAGGTTAGTTTGTGAGATGTGTGTGTGATAAGTATAGTATAGATGTCACAGTGTGAGTAGGTTAGTTTGTGAGATGTGTGTGTGATAAGTATAGTATAGATGTCACAGTGTGAGTAGGTTAGTTTGTGAGATGTGTGTGTGATAAGTATAGTATAGATGTCACAGTGTGAGTAGGTTAGTTTGTGAGATGTGTGTGTGATAAGTATAGTATAGATGTCACAGTGTGAGTAGGTTAGTTTGTGAGATGTGTGTGTGATAAGTATAGTATAGATGTCACAGTGTGAGTAGGTTAGTTTGTGAGATGTGTGTGTGATAAGTATAGTATAGATGTCACAGTGTGAGTAGGTTAGTTTGTGAGATGTGTGTGTGATAAGTATAGTATAGATGTCACAGTGTGAGTAGGTTAGTTTGTGAGATGTGTGTGTGATAAGTATAGTATAGATGTCACAGTGTGAGTAGGTTAGTTTGTGAGATGTGTGTGTGATAAGTATAGTATAGATGTCACAGTGTGAGTAGGTTAGTTTGTGAGATGTGTGTGTGATAAGTATAGTATAGATGTCACAGTGTGTGTAGGTTAGTTTGTGAGATATGTGTGTGATAATTATAGTATAGATGTCACAGTGCGAGTAGGTTAATTTGTGAGATGCGTGTGTGATAAGTATAGTATAGATGTCACAGTGTGAGGAGATTAGTTTGTGAGATGTGTGTGTGATAAGTATAATAAAGATGTCACAGTGTGAGTAGGTTAGTTTGTGAGATGTGTGTGTGATAAGTATAGTATAGATGTCACAGTGTGAGTAGGTAAGTTTGTAAGAAGTGTTTGTGATAAGTATAGTATAGATGTCACAGTGTGTGTAGGTTAGTTTGTGAGATGTGTGTGTGATAAGTATAATATAGATGTCACAGTGTGTGTGATAAGTATAGTATAGATGTCACAGTGTGAGTAGGTTAGTTTGTGAGATGTGTGTGTGATAAGTATAATATAGATGTCACTGTGTGTGTAGGTTAGTGTTTATAAATATGGTGTGTGTGTGATAAGTATAGTATAGATGTCACATTGTGTGTAGGTTAGTGTTTATTAATATGGTGTGTGTGTGATAAGTATAGTATAGATGTCACAGTGTGTGTTGGTAAGTGTTTATAAATATGGTGTGTGTGTGATAAGTGTATTATAGATGTCACAGTGTGTGTTGGTAAGTGTTTATAACTATGGTGTGTGTGTGGTAAGTGTATTATAGATGTCACAGTGTGTGTAGGTTAGTGTTTATAAATATGGGGTGTGTGTCATAAGTATAGTATAGATGTCACAGTGTGTGTTGGTAAGTGTTTATAAATATGGTGTGTGTGTGATAAGTATAGTATAGATGTCACAGTGTGTGTTGGTAAGTGTTTATAACTATGGTGTGTGTGTGGTAAGTGTATTAGAGATGTCACAGTGTGTGTAGGTTAGTGTTTATAAATATGGTGTGTTTGTGATAAGTGTATTATAGATGTCAGTGTGTGTGTAGGGTAGTGTTTATAGATATTGTGTGTGTGTGATAAGTGTATTATAGATGTCACAGTGTGTGTTGGTGAGTGTTTATAAATATGGTGTGTGTGTGATAAGTAAAGTATAGATGTCACAGTGTGTGTTGGTAAGTGTTTATAAATATGGTGTTTGTGTGATAAGTATAGTATAGATGTCACATTGTGTGCTGGTAAGTGTTTATAAATATGGTGTGTGTGTGATAAGTGCATTATAGATGTCACAGTGTGTGTTGGTAAGTGTTTATAAATATCGTGTGTGTGTGATAAGTATAGAATAGATGTCACTGTGTGTGTTGGTAAGTGCTTATAAATATGGTGTGTGTGTGATAAGTGTATTATAGATGTCCCAGTGTGTGTTGGTGAGTGTTTATAAATATGGTGTTTGTGTGATAAGTATAGTATAGATGTCACATTGTGTGCTGGTAAGTGTTTATAAATATGGTGTGTGTGTGATAAGTGTATTATATATGTCACAGTGTGTGTATGTTAGTGTTTATAAATATGGTGTGTGTGTGTTATAAGTATAGTATAGATGTCACAGTGTGTGTAGGTTAGTGTATATAAATGTGAGGTTTGTGTGTGATTAGTATAGTATAGATGTCACAGTGTGTGTTGGTTAGTGCATATATAAATGTGATGTGAATTGTGTATTTTAGATGTCACAGTGTGTGCAGGTTAGTGTATATAAATATGATGTGTGTGTGTGATTAGTGTATTATAGATGTCACAGTGTGTGTAGGTTAGTGTATATAAATTTGAGGTTTGTGTGATTGTCGGTTAGTGTATATAAATGTAAGGTTTGTGTGATTGGTGTATAATATCTGTCACTGTGTGTGTAGATTAGTGCATATAAATGTGGGGTGTATGTGTGATAAGTGTATTATAGATGTCACTGTGTGTGTAGATTAGTGCATATAAATGTGGGGTGTATGTGTGATGAGTGTATTATAGATGTCACAGTGTGTAGATTAGTTAATATAAATGTGGTTTGTGTGTGATTTGTGTATTACAGAAGTCACAGTGTGTGTAGGTTAGTGTATATTAATGCGATGTGTGTGTGATTGATATATTATAGATGTCACTGTGTGTGTAGATTAGTGCATATAAATGTGGGGTGGATGTGTGATAAGTGTATTAT